ATAAAGACGAGCAAAATAAACTCAATTGACTCAACAATTGTGTGCTCTTTTGACTGAATACATTTGATGTAGTAATATGATTTTGGTTAGCAACATCTTACAGTTGTTGGGTGTATTGTTTGTTTTACTCTCTATAATTTAGCAATAATTCCCTACCAGAATAAATTAATACCTGAAAAATCTTGTTCATTACGTAATTATACAAAGAGAGCAATTGAAATTTTACAAAAACATGAAAAACTCTTATCTTCAATCCCCGACTAGAAGTTTAACACTTTTTTAAAAAATGCAGATAAAATCTTACCTTTCCGTTGACAAAATAACCATCATTCTCCTTCAAAATCTTTTCGAACTGTGAGAAATAAGTAGGGATGTTCTCAGTCTTGAGAACCTTTGCTCTGGCGGGCTTCTCAGCTTCTGGCGTACGCCAATGATACATACCAATTGCTGAAACACACGAACAGTAAACTTCATAACTAATTAAATTACAATTGATAATAAACATTTATCCCGCTCATTCTCAGGGTTGGTTTAAATTGGTATAATTTAATTTGCATTCATATGTGCACTCGCACACAATAATATTCGATTTTCCATAGCTCTCCAGAGTTTTCATAAGCCGAACTTCTTAGAAGACGAGTAATAAGGGATTGCGTAAAAGCAAGTAATACTATAAAAACTCGCAATCTAATGAAGTATTATTTTACCACAATTCTTACTCCAAGTATTTACCTCAACACTGTCTTCAGTTCTATTTTCACTCACCAGTTCTTAGATCCACGACTGTGTCAGCAATGGCGTCAATTTGCAAAGCTTCAAAATCATCACTTCCAGCTAAACCAACCTTTTACGCATAATAGCGGCAGATGGCTGTAGATTGATTGATCACCTTCCCATTGATCTCAAGGGTAGGCAATAACCCGAAAGGAATAGCTGGAAAAAATATATCAAAACACACATTAAAAAACGAGAAGATAAAAACGTTGTGTACTCAACGTTTTAATGAAACCACCATTATCAAATTTTGCTTCGTGTTTTATTTTTATTTAATAGTTCACTTCAACATAAATTTCATAGTTTTTATTCTAACAAATTGATACTTATACATGACTTTTCGTTTAACAAAGTATGTTCCTAATGAATATTTTTTTAAAATATTTGTTACAAATTATCCGTTTAAATAACCTTGCCTAAACTGTTAAATTAGTATATGTCTCGTTATGTTCAAATACAAAGTAGTGAAGCGTCATACTCACTAGGCTTTAATTTGGGCCAATCCTCCAGCTGAATGCGTTTGTCTTCGTACTCCACGTTCGAGTACTCCAGCACGTAGCGGATTGGCTCCGCTGCTCCTCTGAAGTCGAAGTACGTGAGCTTGGGCTTGGCGGCCATGACTGTGAAAGCGCCTGGCGTTATGGGTTGTGTTCCGTCTGTTCGCCGACTGACGTCGGGAGGCTCGCCCCGGTTATATAAGCGGGGCGATGACGCTGCGCTTTTTGCCCCCCCACCACGGCGCCTTCCAGGATACGCCTAATGGTTGCTTGTGGAGTGCTTAAAGCATCCTTTCCGCGAACGGGAGGTCACAATTGTTGGGAGTTTTATAAACAAAATTAACCAATGCATTAGCTTTATAATTTATTTATTTAACAGGTATACAATGAAATTAATGGGTTTTCTGTTTCAACATTACACTGTCATATGAATAAACATTTTAATTTTTGTTCTGTATCTCCCTATCGTAAAAAAACTAATTATTTATTTTCAGCAATTTATAAATATCCTCATTTCATGCATTTCTGGGTATTACTTTTTTTTCTTTATCAGTGGAGTCTACACACGCAATGCGCGAGCCAGCAAGCTAAGGTCATTTTTGACCTTCTGTGTTTCTCAATGTTGCAGGATTGGCCATAGATGCCCGTAAGGGTAGGAATGGTCTCACTGCAGTGCCGTGAACGTGCATTGCACTGTCCGTGCGTTCATAAAACTGCACAACATAGTCTTGTTTTAGAATTGAGTTTAATTCCATACGGTTTACATGAACGAACAAATTTGTTTATTTTATAGCAAAAAATAACACTGATCCGTGAAATGTGCATATTAAAATGTTTTCCCTGGGGATTTCTAAATACAATACGTCAGTATCTCTTATTCGACTTCACATATTCAAAATATGAGAAAATTTGTTTGCTATCCTGATCCAATTATTAAAATTCAACATGATACAAATAAAAGTTCCTTTTTATATTCAACTGTTTCAGCTGTTCCAAAGTTTCCCTCAAACCAAGTGTCGATGACTGCAGTAGTTCTAAACGGTTGTGGGGGCGTGCTGTCCTTACAGCGAAATATACTGCGCAGTTCACCTCTTTCCTGGGGCATCATTTCCATCATATTTAATTTCCATTTTTTGAAATGCGATTTCTTCTACTTTAATGCATTTTAAAATATATGTGCCCATCTTAATGCTTGTTTTGCTGCTCAAGTTCGAGTAAATCTTAGAGAAACTTTGGCAATGATTCTTTGATGTGCACTGAAGAAGTGTCCTGGCCTGCTGGAAAATTAACTCTTTCATTAATTTCGTAGTAGCAAGTCGGTCCAATTACTAGTGTGTTGGGGCGATTTCGTGAAGGTGTCAGTCAGTGTCCGTAATTTGAATAATCCAGAAAAATTTACTCCCACCCAAACAATTGTTGCTTTGTGTGAGTCAGCTGTTTATTCAAATCTCATGAAAAAGAGTGCAAGTTGTGTGAGAAACGAGGTTTACGGCAGTAATCTTTCATTGGTATCCGCGTGATAACTTTCCCCCTGTATGGCAAATACTGTCTAGATTGAAATGTACTTAAACGTCGGTAAGATAAGTAAACATATAAATGCTTTATATTGCAGGTTTATAGAACATGAAATACGTTCAGTTAGTGTATTCGATTATATTTCAAATGAATTTTCTCTTTCATCATCCAACATAAACTCGGAACATAGTTTTGTGAGGTCATTTAAAGATCATTTTATTGGAAAGGAAGTGTCTCTAAATTTGTATTTTTCGACCGATCTTTTGATGTTTGTGACTTGTCCTGGCAGAGGCAAGTTTTAAAGAACAGATATTTTGAATGCGACTGAAACCCGTTTATCAAAACGGTGATCGCAAAGGGGAGTCTTCTTGTTATATCCTCTTTAACGTGGGCAAGGCTCATTAATGAAGCCTATAGTAACCCTACCAGTAAACCGAGTCTACAAGCAGGTGAAATATCCGTGCGAAGACCTTGAGAGAGAGAGAGAGAGAGAGAGAGAGAGAGAGAGAGAGAGAGAGATGTTTTCATGAAAGTTTCCTGGTAATGTTAGTAATGCTGTTTTTTCCTGTCGCCTTTGTTAATGGGGATTTGATTGAACCAGAGATGACAAATCAAATTAATATTCGCATCCAGAATATTTTCAAGGAGGGTAATGAACATTACATATTTTAGAGTCAAGAAGTCAACACGTGATCAATACTCTGGTTCTTTGGAGAATGAATTTTGTCATGTTTTCATTTCTCTATAGGAGGACTGAAAAATGCTGAAAATGTGAAAACATTTACGTGTTTTTTGATAAAGCATTATTTCCTCAACATTAATATTTCATAAAAGTAATATAGATGTATGATTTATTCTGGATGTGTAAATGAATATGTGTATATGAATTACCCCAAGAGCTCAGCTGAAACCACAAAGACATAAAAGTAAAGTAAAAGGCGCTTATCTATTCGTGCTGTAAATGTAATATTCTACAACGTTTTCTGTTAAGTTATTTTGTTTTGAGTAAATTGTTAACTGATTCGAGTGGGATTTCGAGACTTTGATGTCAAAGTAACTTTGTTTTAATTGTTATGGAAAAAAATGGAGAGTAGAGTCACGTTGGCAGCCCTGCGGCTCGCATACCATAGAGCTGAGTAGCTTAGGGAGGCTACGGCGTTGGGGGTGGAGATATTTTTAGAACCAGGTGGTCGCCGCCGACGTGCTCTCCGAGGATATTACGTGGAAGTACGCAAACCTGCCTCCTGCAATCAAGGGTGACCAAATGGGGGTGAGCCGGCGGGTATAAAATATGCCGACTCGTTCACGCCGGCGGGGTTTGCTCGCGGAAACTTCTTCCGCAAACTTCACGCCCAGGCTGGGGCGCATTCGCGCGTTGCTCGGGTGACAGAAAGTCCCGTGGAAGGCGCGGTGGAAGCGCAGAGACGAGAGGCGGGGCCCCCACAGTAAATGCGGTGCAGCCACAGGGGTGTACGTCCACTCGCCTGGCGGTAGGAAAATAACTGAACGTGTGTACGAGCGTAGAGACAATGATGTAGATTATTTTGTAAATAAATTTGTATATATTGTGCACATTTGTGTTGCTTACTTCTACGACCCTACAGGTGTCAAAGTGATTAAGAGAAGTTGATTCAATGTTGCCAATACATTAAAGGTCGTGTAGGTATAAAATAAATGTACGCGTTATTTTTAATTATGCACACGATTTTATCAAATTATTGATATTTTGTTTAGAAATAGTGCGGTTAAGTGATGTTTAGAAATAGTGCGGTTTAGTGAGACAAGGGCTTAGGGCAGGTGAGTTGAAGTACGTAGACAAGGCTATGTGTTCTAAAGGCATATAAAACATGAAAGTGAATACGTTGTGTTTGGTACTTGGATGGCTTTCCGTATCTTTCGCGAAGTAATACATCTACCTTCTGCATACGAATATAATAATTTGCTCTGTAAGAAAACTGCGTGCAATCTATGTTCTTAATTGAGATACTAGATCTCACGCCCAAAACAACGGTACAAGACACGAGATGGGGTCAAGGAATACCTGGGGGTAAATATAAGTTAAGTTACAAGGCCAAGATACGTCTACGCGATATTTGGAGTGTTGAAGGGTATCTTCATGCCACTCTAGATCAGCAGTAGGTACTGCGAGGGAGCCTGGTAGTCTTTAAGACCAATAAAGAGAACAGAAAATTAAATAACACGAGAAAGTCTGAGCCATTATTTATTACTACTGGTTCCGTTTGCGGTCGTTGTGAAAATAGCTATTTTATGAAGGACATCGTGAAGTAATATTTGGGATAATTAGCAGATATAATCGAACACTTGGGCGTGTGAGTTCCTCGATACAGGATTTGTCATTTCACACACATGTGTCATTTCCCGTATGTAAACACTTTTTCATCTGACTTCGACCCAATAGAAAAATGCAATTTTTATAATTAGGAATGAGAGAAAACCACACAAAAGAAAAAACACATTTGTTGAAACGTATTTATTTATTTGAAAAACTGCTGATGAATATTTCAAAGAAGTGTCTTTGGTCTTCTGGATATCCAAGCCTTGATGCGAGGGATGTTGTGAACTTTCTCCACAAGCGCCTGAACCAATGGGTAGCCTTCCGTCACTTCAAAGTTCATGATGTGGTTCATACTCTCAACTGTACCAGCAAAGAGGAGATCAGGGTAGCTTAGCTGTAAAGTAAAATAGAAAATGACCATCGTAAGAGGCAATTGTGCTTTTCTGAAATTAAAACATAGAATTGGAAAAAAAGCATGACGGGCGAAAGAAAAATTGATACAATTGTGTAGCTGCTTCGCTGCATAACGTTTTCTTACAATAATATACTTTTTGCATAATAGATTTGCTAGATATGCTTCATGCATATTAGATATGCTTTTTGAATATTAGATTTATTGCTTACTGCATCGATAGATACGCAATATCTCACCAGTGGTTGGAACTGTTTGGTTTACTCCATTGAAATTAAAAATGACAAATACATTTCTCACCACAATAAATTAATACTAGAGAAATTTAGTTCATTAAGTAATTATCCATAAAGAGTCATAGTACATTGATATATTGATAAGATCAGTTTATTGTCAATGAAACGTGAACAATTTGATCTCAGTCCCTGACTGGCAAAGTTTGACACATTTTCTAAAAAGTTCAGATAAAATCTTACCTTTCCGTTGACAAAATAACCATCGTTCTCCTTCAAAATTTTCTCGAACTGTGAAAGATAAGTGGGGATTGTCTCCGTCTTGAGAACCTTTGCTCTGGCGGGCTTCTCAGCTTCTGGCGTACGCCAATGATACATGCCAATTGCTGAAACACACGAACAGCAAAAGTAATAAATAATCAAATTACAACACACACAGTAATTTTCGAAATTCTAAATGTGGCTAATCATACCGAACTTGATGAGATAATAAGAAATTGAGTAAAATCAAGTGAAAACATGAAACGTATCACAGGTTTTACACATTCTAGTGAAGCATTATTCTACCACAATTCTAACTCCATGTATTTACCTCAACACTTTCTTCAGTTCTATTTTCACTCACCAGTTCTTAGATCTACCACTGTGTCAGCAATGGCGTCAATCTGCAAAGCTTCAAAATCATCACTTCCAGCTAAACCAGCCTTTTTGGCAAAATAGCGGCAGATGGCTGTGGACTGATTAATCACCTTCCCATTGATCTCAAGGATAGGCACCAGCCCAAAAGGAATAGCTGGAAAAAGTATCAAAATACACAAAAAGAGAGAAGATAGAAAATTTTTGTGTAAGATTAACGTTTTAGTGAAATCATCATTCTTTGTTGTTTTACTAATGAGTTAACTTCATCACATCATCAATTTTATAGCTTTTGCTACAATAAATTCATACATACGCAAAATTTATCTGTGGATGGTATTCTTTTATCAAATGCATGTACCAAGTATGTTCATAGTGAATTATTTCAAAAACAAATTTGTTATAAATTATCTGTTTAAATAAAATTGCGTAAACATAGTACGTGTGTCATTATGTACAAAGGTGGCCAGTCTTACTAGAGCAAAGCGTTGACTAGATAAATGTTCATACTCACTAGGCTTTAATTTGGGCCAATCCTCCATCTGTATGCGTTTGTCTTCGTACTCCACGTTCGAGTACTCCAGCACGTAGCGGATTGGCTCCGCTGCTCCTCGTAAATCGAAGTACGTGAGCTTGAGTTTGCCGGCCATGACTGAAAGGGACTCGCGTTGTGGGCTGTGTTCCGTCTGTTCGCCGACTGACGTCGGGAGGCTCGCCTCGGTTGTATAAGCTGCGCGATGACGCAGCGAGTTTTTGCTACGTGACAGGATAAGTTTGTATGGCGAATTCTTTCCTTGTTTTCGTATCATTCAGTTATTTATTGCGTTAATCAATAATGTGAAATATATTAATAAGTCTCGATAAGTTAACAATTCTCGCTTACGGACGAACGCCGGCGCTTTTAACAGGGAAGAACGTTTGTCTGTTAAACCTTCGAAACGTCGAAAGTGGACGATTTTATATCATTCTGAAGTAAACAGTTTTACTAAATCAAGATACGAACTCTTTAATTTTATTATCATTTAAGAATTTGAAATCTGACTGATTTATTATTTCATTTTAATGGATTATTTGTTTGTTTTAAGGTAAATTAGATGTTAACAGAGTTAAATGTTTGACAATAACTTTCAAGAAACGTCTCCCAAAGACTGCTAAGGACCAGGGATTGAGTGACGTACCGCCACTCCAGAGAATTTGTGCAACCCTTAATTTTAATTCTCCCACCAATTTTGGACTATTAGCATTTTTTGTATGGTGGTTAGAGTAGCGTTTCCTCACACTGAGCAATCGTAAGTTAGTGTGGGTAGGATAATATATTTATGTAGTCGAATCTAGCATTTCATAATAAGGGTTTAATGTTGCTTTATAAACGTGTATAGTTTTGATTGATGATTGGATTTGTTGATTGCTGCGTGAATATGGGGTTTCTAGGAAAGTTTATTGTCTAACAATACACAGAGATACTTTATTGGTTCACTTTTACAAGGTATTTCATTGTCATCTTTTTCCAGGTAGGGATAGTTTTGAGGATTTAGCACTACTAGTTCAGTTTGTTGTCGTTGATGTAGTGAAAGTAGGTGTTTTACGAAGGAGATTGAGAAGTAAAATTTGGGATAATTATCAGAAATAATTGGACGCTTGAACGTGTGAGTTCCTCGATATAGGATGTAACTACATACGTCATTTCCCGTATCGATACTTCCTTTGTCATCTGACTTCGACACAATAGAAAAATACATTTTCAAATACTAACTCAGGTTTATTTTGAGTAATATTTTAAAGTACAAGTAATAATGAGAGAAAATAGAAGAAAAGATAGTTGAAAGGTATTATTTGAAATACTGCTATTGAATATTTCAAAGGAGTGTCTTTGGTCTTCTGGCTATCCAGGCCTTGATGCGAGGGATGTTGTGAATTTTCTCCACAAGCGCCTGCACCAAAGGGTAGCCTTCCGTCACATCAAATTTCATAATGTTGTTCAAACACTCAACTGTACCAGCAAAGAAGAGGTCAGCGTAGCTAAGCTGTGAAATAAATTATTAAATTTTCAGAGTTGGTGGTAATTGTGCTTTCCTAATATAAAATAATCATATTTGTTTAATTACGTAACACTCATCGGTGATCTGTACAGTTTCTTTTACTATATTGATAAAGGAGAGCGCGAGCATTTTTAACAATTAAAAATGCTTCCCAACTACAATAAATTAAATAACAATGTCTTAAGTAACTCGACAAAAGGGGTTGTTACAGTTTTCTGTGAATGAAACCTCTAATCTCCATTTCCTTCTGTCACGTAGATACGTTGTGATGAAGTTTATCACATTCACTAGCATGTGCTGATAAAATATTGCATAATCCGATCGTACCTTTCCATTGACAAAATGACCATCGTTCTCCTCTAAAATCTTCTGGAACTGTGATAGATAAGGAGAAATGTTCTCAGTCTTCAGAACCTCCGCTCTGGCGGGCTTCTCAGCCTCTGGAGTGCGCCAATGGTACATGCCAAGGGCTAAAACACACAAACAACAAACCTATTTAATAATAAATCATCGTTCCGCCCATACTCTGCACAATCACAGGTTAACCTTGAATGGGCTCTGAATTTATTTGAACACACATTGACTCACAACTTTCCAATTTCTTCAGTCCTGACAATACAGTGCAGTCTCAATGGTAATACTAAATAAAGTATACACGATTAAGTAAAAACGAGAAATAACCCTAACCTTGAATATAATTTCCACATTGTTATGAAGTATTTTTTACCACTAATTTATTTGGAAGTTCCTCTCATATATTTCTGGCATTTATCCACTCACCAGTTCTTAGATCCACAATAGTTTCAGCAATGGCGTCAATCTGCAAAGCTTCGAAATCATCGCCTCCAGCCAAACCAGCTTTTTTGGCGTAGTAACGACAGATGGCGGTAGACTGGTTGATCACTTTGCCATTGATCTCGAGGGTAGGCACTGCCCCAAAAGGAAAAGCTGTGAAAAAATATCAACAAATGTGAAGGGAACAAGATAAACAAATTCAATCTCAATTTCTTCCATCTATTCAAGAGATCTGATCTAGAATCCTGTCCAAAATGTAGTGCCAACAATCTCCTCCTCCCAACTTATTCTGCAATGCCCTTCTGCAGATTAAGAAAGGAATGGTAGTAACCCTAAAATCATTGCTTGCTGCAGACGAGTGTGCCAAAGTAGTAAAATTCTTACAAATTACGAATCTTACAGCGTTATATAGCTATTAATATTGTATTAGTACTTTAGTTAGATTAAACATAATATGCTGGTAAAAAGGAGTTTATAATATTTATTCTTAATATAATTGTAACTACAATTATAACATTAAAATCGGTTTGATGTTCGGATCGAAAGGTTTTCTTCAAGCGTTTTGACTTATATCAACAACATGCTCGAAGCATGTCAATAACAATTTGACAGTTTTTGCTCCAATAAATGCACACTCACGTAAAAAGCACCTCTGCTTTGATTTCTGTTTACATATTGTATGTAAAGACATGTTCAAATAAAAGTCATTACTTGAACAAGATAGTGTAACGTAATAGCTACTTAATACACATGAAACTGATGCAAAATGAAATAACACACGACGTGTTGTTTTGCAATATATTTTACTATAGTCAAAATAAAGAATTGACTTGAAAAAGAACCATACTCACTGGGCTTTAATTTGGGCCAATCCTCCAGCTGAATGCGTTTGTCTTCGTACTCCACGTTCGAGTACTCCAGCACGTAGCGGATTGGCTCCGCTGCTCCTCTGTAATCGAAGTATGTGAGCTTGGGTTTGGTAGCCATGATCACGTAAGCGACTCACGTTGTAGTTTGTATATCGTCCGTTCCCAACTGGTGTCTGGAGGCCCGTCTCGTTTATCACAATTATATAAGTGGCGCGATGATTAAGCGCGTTTTACTCCCCTACCAAAGCGCGTTCGAGCGTAAACCTCTTGGCATTTGTGTAATGCTCATAGCATCGTCTCCAGGGAAAGAGAATCAAGAGACTGTATGTTTAAGGAGAAAATTTATTCAATGCATTAACAAAGCAATTCAGTTATTTACAACCAGATAAGGACATTGATGTGCGAAATTT